AAAATGAAGGAAATCTCATACGATACTCTTTAAACCAATTGTCTTCCCTGATTGTGTGGTGCGATTTCTCGTTTTTCAGCAAATTTGAGAGCTCGATAACAGCAAAACCTCATTCAACACGACCTTTTACGATTTGCAAATTTTCAGGAAATCCCAAAATAGTTATTGCCGGCATGGCCTCTTAACATCGTGAATTCCCATAAACCACGGATTCTACTGGCCGTTTTGATCCTAACCTTGNGCGCCAATGGGGTCACGCGTGAATCGCGCGCCTCCCATGGGAAGTCTATGAAATTTCAGGTGCCGCAAGAAGTTGGAAGCTCGAGTGATCAAACAGCTTTTCTTGAATATTACTTGAGACTTCTCATATATCGCTTAGTCCATCTCAAATTCAAATTGAAAGATCGCTAGAGTACTACGGTTTGTTGTCTCCCAGTGTGAATTCTTGTGCTTTTTCCAACTTGAAGTTTTTTAAAGCGTAAACGATGCAGCTGTCTCCGTTTCTTGCCCTGCACTGCCCACTAGAAGGAAAACCAAGGTGTTTAGCGATGTCAGAAAAATTCTTTTTTTATTCTTGTTCCGTTGTGGGTACCCTTCAAAAGCCCAGATATACCTTCGTCGCTGTCCTACCCGTCTCAAACTTTCCATGCCCCTCGGTGGTACCGAAGGAGAATGGTCCTATAATGCAACATATGATGGTCCGTCCGACCTTTTGCCCCTCTCTTTTTGAGGTACCGAAAGAACAGTGCTGATGTTAATGGCCATCAATTGTTAGTTAGGATCTTTAGTCTACGGCGGTGATTGTGGAAAGGTGATGGGGAACAAAACCCGAATCACTTTAGATCTTTCACTGAGTGACTAAATATTTTATTTAGTACATGTGGTTGCTATGGTTGCTAGGAAACATTACCGGATGATCGGCATCCAATCCAGCTCCATACATGATCACTCTCTTGCCGCAGATATCCAGATCGTAGATAGTTTTCGGGAACCACTGACTCCCAGTAATGGCATCTGGAAGTTACTTCATGACTCTCCGAAATCAATTTCAAGATGATCGGATGAATGTGAGTTCTCAGATGTGACCTCTTGACTCAACACTACCATAGATCTTCAGAATTTACTATCCAAGTTCAGCTCGCAAGCAGCAGTGTTCACCTGAGAAGCCTGCTATGCCTTATTACACAGCCAGATCAGTCAGTGTACGAATCATGACTTACTTTTCTTAGGCCAAACCGATGGTAAATAAGCAATACTACGAGAAACAATGTTTTGGTAACTAAAGTACGGATTCAGAGCTTTGCATATTGAGGTGAGGATGTGAGAGTCGTGAGAGTTGGAATAAAATAAAAAAAGATGTTTTTAGAGAATTCTGAGAGAGTGTTCGATGATCACAAGTATGCCCTTGCCACAAATTGGATTTGATATACTTTCAGACTCAATACCTATCTAGCTATCTCCTGGAGGAAGAAATTTTTCGTTTTGTACTCATTTGGCAGAACAAAGTAATAGTTGTGCCGACTTTCCTAACTTTTTTTTAAAAGTAAATCTGAACAAATAAAATCACTCGGGAACTCACCATTCGATCCTGGTTCCATGTACTTCTCGGCTACAGGTGGTTTTATAGTTTGTGATACTTCATAGAACTGAAATCACGTTCTCAGACTAAAAAACCCATTTCGAAAAAAACAGGGAGTACTCTGTGTTGTTGAGCGAATTTGAACTGTCTTAATTTGCAAATCAGCATCATTTGTTTTGTTTTAGATAACACCGTACCTGTAGCCCTTTGTCCTTCATTGCCTTCAATGCCTCAGCAGCCGTTCTTTCAAGTTCCAATTCAAGTTCAACTAGCACGTCCATCCAACCAGAAGAACCATTTTGAGCTTCCCGAGTTTCCATATGTTTGATACGTGTGTTTGCCTTAAAATGAAGGAAATCTCATACGATACTCTTTAAACCAACCATTGTGTGATACGATTTTTCGTTTTTAAGCAAATTTAAGAGCTTCGTAACAGCAAAACCTCGTTCAACATGATATTTTACATTTTGCAAACTTTCAGGAATCCCAAAATAATCATTGCCTACGGTATGGCCTCTTAACATCGTGAATTCCCATCAACCACGGATTCTACTGGCCGTTTTGATCCTAACCTTGAACCCAATGATAATATTGCTGATTACACAAGAAGAATACAGTTTTGAAGCCTCCTTAGGTTCATAACTTTTGACTGTTTCAGAGGAGATACCAGAATGGCCAAGAGCTCTGCTAATTCCCTTCGAAGACAATCCTTGAGATATCAATGGGCATGAAATGAAAAATTTCACGAACCGGAAGCTTGGCGATCATTTGAGACACACTGTCAGCCCCACGTTGACACTTGATGATGACAGTAAGCATTGGTAGACCTTCTTCATCTTCGACAATGACAACCTCTCCCTGAAAACAACGACATCATCCAGAATACCGAGTACAAAACCTCTTGCGAAATGATCCAGGTAGGGTTGGATCAGTTCACATGAAATCTATATGACTCGGGTATATCAGCATGTGGAGATTATTACAATAGCCACCATCTGATTGGATCGATATAAAGATCGATAAAAGTGCTCAAAATTAGAACATCCAGAATAAGTAGAACAGATTCACGAAATGAAGTCCCTTCTTTTCAGCCTATGTTAGGGGCCATTTGACAATAACAACCAGAAGCTGAGCTTGATGCTTAGCAGGAGCGGATATCACATCAAAAGGCTGAACTAATCTTATGAAATAAGTTAGAATCTGACTGAGATATGGTATTGAAGATTACTCGAATCTGTAGAAGATCTCTTACAGTTTTTCAGTTCAACCTACTACAATTCCAATCAAGTATCTGCAGAGAGAAACAAAAAGGCCAGATCTTCTAAAATTGCAAAACTCTTTAAAGACCCGAAGAACTACTTATCAACTATTTTCCTATACGGTACCATCAACGTAAGCTTCCCTATCTGCACCTCCCAATGTTTACAAAGTTCCGCCGAGTACGGACCTTTGCGCTCAAATACAAAGTTCTGAGTACCTTCGAGCTCAACAGCTCTTTTATATCATCCTCTGGAACGAACGGAATTCCAAGTGAACCGCTTCGTCTAAACTTTCGCTTGAACTCCTCCAATCGCGTATCGGGAGCGGACCTTCAAAAACGATAAGTATATACTAGTAATTTCATCTTTGCTGTTATCGACTCACGTGCTCGAGGACAGAGCTCTTCGGACTTGGTTCTTCGAATAGTAGCAGAACTTCATTTCAGACGTCATCTCGAGGCCTCGATGTGGGACCTAGTAAATACCTCAAGTAAAAAAATGGTATCTCTTGGTAAGAGGAATGGGATATTCTCTGAATAACAGCTTTCTTTCGAAGAGAAAAGGAGTCATGCTGCTTCGTTACAGCTCAGTGCTTTACCGTAGCAGCTTTGAGGTTTGTTCTCTTCAGAAAAAAGCGAACATTTAGAAGTAGCTTAGAGAGAGCTCTACAGTTTTCAAGCAATTTCTCAAACGTTTCCCACTTTTTCAAAATCGGGAAGGGTGGAGCAGCCAAAATGGCCTAAAGATCGGATTCCATTCAGTGTACCAATAGCTGGTGGGATCAGCTCTCCATAAAAACCCAAAAACAATGCCTTTGAATCCTCGGGTGTCTGCTAATAAACCTTGAAATTTTTTTATTCAGATACGATTTGGAGTGAGGTCGAAATACTTTTGGGAAAGAAAATTTCCTCCTGAAGCATTTGCAGTTAAGTGCTGTATGTACATATATAAGGCATACAATAGAACTCTTGGTGTTCCCACCCTCCCACAAAAGTTGCTACCAAATTCCTGACTATGAGAAATAAAAGATGTCGGTATCCTACTATCGCTTCCTTCTCCTAATACGAGCAAATATGAATGATTATCAGGTTCTATCAGGCACTATAATACGTTATTACTAGTAGGTTTATACTTCACAGCCTGTAAAGTTTAAAGTTAGTTTGTTTAAAGGCAAATGAGATGGTATGAGCCATGACAGAGGCTCTGATATACAGCGAGTCGAATCCTGCTGTCGGGACTGCACTGGCTACTGATTACCAGTTTCTCTATGGGAACCGATGAGGGAACATATGGGATAGCATAGTGGCTTTGTGATTCTGAGCGCCCCAACTTCCCAGATTATAAAGGGGCCCACAATGTATTCAGAAGGTAAATATTCATCTCCGGTTTCGTTCGCCATCAATCTTCGTACGCCCCTCCAGCTACCAGGCGCTAATGCGTAAGCAGAGATAATACCCAAAAAAAGGTGGAAACGTCATCTGAAGAGCTTTCAGAAGTCCACCTCCGCTGGTGCGAAGTACCCTGGGAAGGGAAACTTTCAAAAAGTACTTTCAGCTTAACTGACTCATTCAAAAATAGAAAACTTTAGTTAAAAACAGCTCCCTCTCAGTCGAGGCGACCCATTAGCCGTGCCGGACAAAAGTGTCTTCGCTTTCTTCAGAAAAAACCGTTCTCGACCTTCTAAAAGACGAAAGGCTTGGCATAATTCTCAAATTCTCCGTAACAAAATCGATTCTCCATTTTGGAAGTAAAGTAAGTGAGGAGAGGTAAAGTTCCCACAGGTGGGAGAGGTACGGCTGCGATGATTATGTAGCTACCCTCGTTGTTGAAAACAAGTAATCTTTGAATGTCAACAGCGATAAACTCACAGTAGTTTAGATAACAAGTAGCGTGACTTAGATCACTGACATTGAGATTATAATTTTGGGAGTTTCCGCCAAGTCAGTAGAAATTCCCGTCCAACATTCGGGATAGAAGAAATGCCTCATTCCTAAATGATTTGTAATTATGGCTCCAAAAGAAGAAATGAGGATCACAAAACGCGAGTAACATCTCGGCGGCATCCATGTAAAACATAGCAATCGATTTTTCCGCCGGCTACTAGTAAGCCCGCTGTGCGGACAAGTATAACATGGAACTTGGGATCAAAACGAGAGACCTCCTAACCTGAATCAAGAGAATCAAAAGCTNAAACTATTTTCCATGATTTACACGGTTCTGGTGAAAAAATGGCTATCAGTATAGCATACTCGAAATAGGCTGCAAAGAACGACGGCAACAAAAAAAATAAAAAGAAAATAAAACATACCTTTAGATGTATTCATTTCCACATGAAGCCCTGAAGCATCCCCTATCGAGAACTGAAATCAAGAAAAACTTGTAGGAGCTAAAAGTAAAAAATAAAATACAAATAGAATCAACAAATCACCATGGGGCTCGAATTTTTTGGAGTGGAAGTTGTGTAGCTGCAAGTGTCGCACTATCACACGTATCGTAGAGATCGAATTTTCGCTCGATACTCGATCAGGTCAAGGAGCCCTCCAAACCCTCCCTCCCTTCCCCCCCGGGAGATCGGTTGTTTGGTATCAGACTTGTCCGGGAGACTGAAAATATAATTTCCACGAGAGCTAGCCGCAGTAACCCATTGGTGTACGCCACGTACACATCTAAATGCCACTACGATCCTGAGTGGAGGTCAAATATGGAGCGCACCCCAAAATTGAGTTGATCGTCGTCGAAAGTCTTTTTCTTCCCCAACCTTTGTTGGTTTGTTCATCACCTTCTTGGCAATATTCAACAGCAACGGACATAGTTTGGACTATGTCCGCGATGTTGTCGTTACTTCGTTAGCCTGGGTTATGGTTTACCTCATAGGTAGACGATGAGAGAGCTTCGAATACCTTCGCCTGTTTAATGAATTTCACTATGAATTCTGTACTTCACTAGCATCTAATTCTTTGGCCGTATTCACTGCAGAGCTTTCATTCATTGGAATCCGTGCTACTCTGCTTTCAAGCCATAATTGCAGCTGTAATTAGTCTAGTCGCTAAAAGCTACTAGCGTTAGCTTGACGTGAGAGCTTGACTGCTTTTCTCGACCACGATCGACTAACGCTTTTCGACAAATCTTCCTTGACTTCGTAGAAGAGCAAGGTGTGGGGCTAGTAGGTAGGTCAGTCAACGCTCCAGAAGGTTGATGTAGTTACTAAGTTTCTTCCAAATTCATCTTTTTTCATTTTTCGGGTTGTGAAAATGACACCGCCCAATCCTCCCACATCGCCTCTCCCTCATCGTCAGATACAGTCCTTCGAGGGCTCACCAACAGACCCGGTCTCCACACCTCAGAAGGCTTTCAGAGAGGGCTAGGAGCTGTCAGAAGTTTGGAGAACAGGAGCTAATACTTCTCGATCTCGCAACCCAGGTCTCAATTGGAAGACAATATGTAAGTAGAAAACTTTCTAAGGGGGCTCAGAGATTCTGCGTACATCATAGGCAGAGCTCATCAGGTGTCATGAACCTGAGCCGAGTCAAAAGAGGTGCTCCGGTACGATTTTCTGTGGGGATCACATTCAACTTTTAACTCCCCCAGTAAATCGCAGCTCCATTAGAATGCTTATTAAGCCTATGCAGTGATTTTGTTTGCCTGATTGAGTATGGTGCCATTCAACCTACCTCAACGGTATTTAAAAGGTCGCTCGGCTTGGGTGGTTACAAAGTATATGGCAGCACCAGGACATGGTAAGGGTTATCCCGAGCCGTACAGGTTTTTGGGGAGGTCACTGAGAAGAATAGATGAAGG